TTAGAAAAGGGAATACGCTGTGCAAATTGTCCGCAGCAGTGCTGGATGGGGAGGGCCCAAGTGCAAACAGTGAAATAAAAGCACCAGGGAAACTCCTCGCATTACTAGAAGGCTGGCAGAAAAAGACCAGTGTGAGATTGATGCCATCACCCTCTTCCTCCCACTTAATGAAGCTTTAAGAAACTCCAAAACCAGTTTCCTGTTGAAGTTAGGGCTTAAAATAACCCAAATCCAAATTATTGTATTTACTAAATTTTCAACCAAAATGAGAACCAGTGGACTTTCTTGATACATGGAAATGCACACACACAAAGTAATAATAAATTAAAACGTTACCCAAAAGTAGTATACATGGGCCAATTATGTCATCAAAATGCATATTTGTCCTTGACAAAAATCAGAAGAAAATTTGAAGCAATGCCTAACACTCATTGCATTGTTCATGCTCTTTAAATTCGGAAAATTTTTCTTGGTAAATATTAAGTCTACCCACATGTGTACATTTAAGGTACATTTAAGATGAGTTTCCCAAGAACATAAATGCTCAAGAGGAATAAGGGGGAGTTGATGAGGAAAATCTTAATTTGCATTTTTCCTGCCTTAAACGCCTGCAATGTCTAGGGTATAATGTTGCGTGAATAAGGCTTTTAGTGCTTAATGTGATATGACTTAAACATTCTCTTTTTGCTAGGGTCTATAAAACATTTGCCATTAATGGCTGTTACTTTTCATTTTTATCCACCACATTTACTAAGGAAGAAAAAATATGTCGAGGCTTCTATTGGTCTGCTCAAATCTTTTCTATTATCTGGCAGTAAACTTCACTCCTTTTAAGCCTGGGACTGTCTAGTTGGAAAGGGGCATGAGGTAGTCCATGATAATCATAAGGCTTTGCATAGTTTTGGGCCTCCAAATTGTCGACCTGCTCCTCACTATATCTTTGGATCTTCCCAACAGTCCTATTGAGGTGATAAGGTACTATTCCTTCAGCCATCAGAGATACTAAAACATATATCTTCCCCGATTTTGCACAGGTAGTAATAGTAAAACCTCATCATCACGTCATAAGTGAAATCTAAAACATCCCACCAGGAAAACGCAGGCTTGCAATATTTGACAGGATAACCCTACGTAGCTGGCCTGCCTCGGCCCTCCAGGACTCAGGCTGAACCACGCAAACTCACCTCACTCGGCCCCAGCTGCAATTCAGCACCAGCTGCTGTCCACTCCTGCTTAAATCCTGGTGGGAATGACTCCAGGGCCGAATGGGATTTCTGGGATATCAGCAAGGATTCCAGGAATCTCTCAAGTGGCTGAGACCCGTTTCTTCAGATTGATCCAGAGAGACTGAATTGGGAAAACACAGATCACCAGGAGACACCACTTCCCAAGACAGGGCTGAGTGCCATTTGCCACCTATCTTGCCTCTCCCCACAACATCTCCTCTTTTCCCTCTGAAGACAAGAACTTTATCACCCACTTCTCACTGAAAATGGGGGTTGCATGGAGTACAGCACCTATTTCCAATGTTGACATATTGGAGTCATGAAGTTTTCTTGATTTGTATGCTTTCTTTGTGTTTGTTGAGCCAGACATGAAAGACAGATCTGATTTCTAGAGCAAAACTCTTTTCCTACTTTGCTGGTACACAGAATTACTCTCTACAGTGTATTTCATTAGTAAGCCAGGTTACGGAGGGTATCAGATATGCCTCCCTATGCTAGCAGAATTCTTGTCCAACGCCTTCCTGAGGAAGGGAGCTCAGGCCCAGCCAGAATCAATACCCATATCCAAGTTCCCAAGCCTGGAGACATCATTGCACAGAAGACAAGAGAAAAAGGTGAGGGAGTGAGGTGGAGTGGGGGAATATATCATTATTTTCAGTTTTAACATGTGTTGCCATTATTGCCTTACTTAACACAGCTCCTAGATTCTGCTCACATCTCACAGGCCACTGCTTACTCACTATCTCTGTTTGACACATGTGTGAGTTCCATCTATTTTGTTTGTTTTTTCTTGTCTTCGCTAGCAGAATTGAATATTCTCAAATCCTACAGCAAACACACATTGTGAGCAGAAAGATGTACGGGGAAAAAAATAAGATAAAAAGCAGGTAAAAGTTTTACTTTGTACTGGCAGGGGAAATAGAAACCAAAACAGAGTAGCTAAGTCACAGGAATGATAGAGTTGTGAGCAGAAAGTGGTGGGTGATTGAATGCTGAGCACTGGGAGACGACCCATCACTGAAACTGCATCGTCCTCAGAGATATATTGGAAATCTTCTTTCCATGGGTTTGTTTCTGCTCCTTTGAAGAAGATAAATCATAATTCATACAGGGGCATCCCAGAAAGCCATCTTTCCTGGCCATCCCCTCCCACTTCCAGCCCCTGCTGTGCTGTGCTGGAAATCACACTTGGGATAAGAATGAGGGTGGAATCACAGGACTGGCACATGGAAGGAGGGGGCAACTGAGGAAGGTAGAGCAGAGGAAGCCCAGACACCCATGGAAAGTATGGAAGGTTCCATGAGTAGCTGCTATGTTTGAACACATTTGTTTGTTATATGACTTATTTTGAAAGTAAATCGATGTAGTAGAGGGGTTCATATCTCTTAGCCCCTTCAGTGAAGAAGAATTACAAGCGAATTGTCCAATTCAGGCCATGTATTAGTTTCCTTGGCCTGCCATAACAAAGTGCCACAAACTGGGTGACTAAAAACAGCTGAACTGTATCTTCTCAGAGTTCTGGAAGCTAGAAGTCCAAGATTAAGATGTCAACATGGTTAGATCCACATGAGGAGAATAAAAGAAAATCTGTGCCTGCCTTTCTTCCAGCTTCTGGTGACAGTTGGCAAACCTTGCCATCCCTTGGCTTGTAGAAGCTTCCTCTAATCTCTGTCTCTATTAGCACAAGGCTCCCCCTGTCTCTTTGTTTCTGTATCTCTTTTTCTTCTTCTTATAAGGACCAGTCATATTGGATTAGGGACCTATCTATTCCAATATGATCTCATCTTAACTAATTATATCTGCAAAAACCCTATTTCCAAATAAGATCGTATTCTGAGGTAATTGGGGTTAGGGCTTCAACATAGATTTTTTTGGGGGGGATGTGAGGGAAGGATTTTGAGTAAGAGTCTCAGTCTGTCTTCCAGGCTGAAATGCAGTGGCATGCTCATGGCCACCACAGCCTCGACCTACAGGGCCCAGGTGATTCTTCTGCCTTAGCCTTCCAACTCGCTGGAACTACAGGTGTGTGCCAACAAGCCTGGTTAATTTATTTTATTGTAGAGACAAGGTCTCAGCAAGTTTCCCAGGCTGGTCTTGAACTCCTGGGCTCAGGCAATCCCCTCACCTCTACCTCCCAAAGCACTGCGATTACAGGTGTGAGCCATCACACTCGGCCTTCAACATTTTTGAGGGACATAATTTGATTATTAATAATCTCACAGTTGAAAAATATAAATTTGTATTTTATTTATTTTGAGTGCTCATTTTCTATCTCTCTGAAAGTATGAAGATTTCTTGAGTTTTTCCAAACTGTTCGCAGTGGTTATCTCACAATAGTTATCTCCTAGGGGAAGGTGAAGGGGGGCTTTCATTTCTACACTGTAAGTTACTACAATGTTTGAATTTGTATAACAAACATGTACTATTTGTAATCATAAAGAACAATAAAGACACATTTTCAAGGAGTTAATGGCATTTATTTCCCCTCACAGTCCCCAGATTCCTTAGGAGACAAGCAAGAGTCATCATGGGTGAGGAAGAAGACAGGCAGGAGCATACATCATTTGAAAAATTGCATTCAAAACTACAATTGCTTTGAAGTGCTCTGTCTTTAGATACTGTCTTTAATTTACTTTAAATCTTAAAATATCATTGAAGAGGACTTGCAGTTGTCATGTTTCTATAGAGGAGGCCTGGTTTTTCAGTGCTAGAAGTTGAAAGGCTTCTTGAAATCACTCATTGAGGTTTCCTGTCAACCAAGACAAAAAAGGCATGTTGGCTTTCAAAGTTCATACCCAAAAGTAGGATTCCCAGATAAAATACAGGACGCCCAGTTAAGGCTGAATTTCAGATAAATAACAAATGTTTAAGTATAAGTGTGTCCCTACTATTGCACGGGATATACTTGGACTAAAAATTATTCCTTGTTTGCCTAAAATTTAAACTTAACTGAGCATCTTGTATTTTTATTTGTTAAATCTGGCAACCCTATTCCAGACATGCCAATTTAGATAAGCTTTTTCTAGAAATTAGACCATAGGAGGGATTTGCCCCACAGGTCACTTATAAAAGGAACAATAAGAGGTTGTAAGCTCACCATTTTTTTTTCTGTGATTTTTCTCCAGCCATAGAAATGTGGTTCAAATGAATCCTATTTTTGTTAATACTTTGTATCAGGGGTTCTTGACAAATTGTGCAGGGGCTGCAGGGGGTCTGTGAGCCTCCTGAAATCATAGGCTGTATTGAGCACATACACATCTTTACAGGGAAAAGAACCATAATTAGATTCTCATAAGTGTCTGAAACCCCCATGAAGGTCAGGGGGCACCACGTTATTGACTGAGGGTGTAGATTTGAACCCAGGGGAGGTATTTTTGTGGGGGAGTTGGTTATTATTTTTTCTATCAATTACTTTTTAGGCAATTGACTTTCTGATTATCTAAACTGAAAAATGGAAAAAATATCAGAAAATTTAAGAGTAGGAAGTTTACTCAATTACGGAAGCATCCCTCTCAAATGTATATGATGTCGTATGTTCTTCATGTTTCACAGGAGTTGAATGAAAGCCAGTTCATGGGTGCTACTGATCATTCTGACTCCTCTGGTGAAGGTTGAAGTTAAGACGCATTTGCCTTAAATGCCAAAAAGTCTTAAAGAGAAAGATTAAGAGAGAAGGAAAGATGGACAGAGAATAATGCCTAGGCAATGAATATTCTTACTATCTGTAGAAAGTATATGACTACTTTGATGATTACTACTTTATTTTTTCTCTAGAACTCCTTCTTCAATTTACCAACAGCTCTTACCGATGAGCTAGATTGGCCCCAACTCTCCGGTGTTACTGGATTTCTGGACTCCACCAGTAGGTATGTGTGTCTGCTACTCACTCTCAAACATTTCAGTATATCTGTATAAGGAAAGAACAGCTGGAGCTTGGTCTTAAATGTTGAAATAAGAATTACTAGAAATTGCTTCTAGAACATGAATTCAAGTCCATCCACCCTACGGCAAGATGTAATGCAAATTGTATTTTGGCAGTGCTGACAAGAAGGAAATATTCCTGCTGCTGTGGTTTGGTAGGTGGCGGGGGTAGGAGGTCTATAGTTTAGCTCCGATGGAATAGACTCAAACACATCACTGTATTTTTCTGAGTCAAGGGACAATGAAATTTACTTGATGATTGACTCTTAGAAGTTAATACTTATAAGGTAATGACTGAAATTAATTGGCAAGTTTCAAGATCCTAGATTCATCCTGGCTTGAATACTTGTATGTAGAGACCATGCATGACAACTCTGAGTGACATACAAACCCAATTTGATACCTGTGACTAGGTGTTGACTCTGGGCCCAGGCTCTGCTTCCCAGGGTTAAATCTGTAGGAGCATCTGTGATGCTGGTGAGACTTTGCAAGAGTCCCTAACGTGGTAGAAAGCCACACATATGAGAAGTGATTTCTCTCGCAACAACCCCCAAACATTTATAACAGTTAATAAGCATAAGAGATATGGCAGATGAATGGCTTCCTTGTGTAAAAAAAGAAGAAAGGGCAAAATTTTGCTTTTAGGTTGAAAAGCAGGACATCACTCATAAGCGGATCCTGAACATTTACCATAATACTATAAGAAAGGGATTGGCAGTAACGGAATACTGCTGGGGTCGGAGGGGAGGCGCCCAACATCAATAAGGGTACCTGATCTCAAACCAGGCAGAGTGGGGACCAAAGAGAGGACCCAACTTTGCCTGTATGATGACCACTTGTATACCTAACCCTGAATTGTACCCTACATTTTTTAAATTAATAAAATTTAAATTAAAAAAAATAAGGGCAGGACAGAACCAGCAAGGAAGCCCTCTCTGACTCAGGCAGCAACACCAGAAAGCTGGAAAGGACCATGAGATAAGCCACAAAAATTGTGTGGTGGGCAAGTGTGAAACAGCCTGATTTGCCCAAATCTGTAAGGAACAGGAACACCCGAGGGACCGCCATTTGTAGTTTTAACACAAAATTATTTTGCTTAACTAAAGACACTGCATGTCATGAATAATTTATCTTTATTCATTTGCTTTTAAAAATACGTACCACCTAACCAGGCACAGATGTTATAGGTGTTTAAATAAGCCTAGTCCCAACCCTGCAGTCAATTACAGTCAGACAAGGCAGATGAGACAAGTGAACAAATAATGACAGCCCAAGGGAAATGTGCCAAAGACGGTCTCACACAGAGTTCATGAAAGTGATCAAGAACCACCTCCTTTTGAGGTGTATGGCAAGAAGTATTTAGGAGATTGGGATGATGAAAAGGATTTTAAAAGAAACAAGGAAAGATAACGAACCTTCAGGAAAACATACTCATATTTATGTAAGAATTATCTGTGAATGTAGGGGAAACAAAGGAGATACATTCTCAAGTTTAGTTGTATGCTTTCAAGTTTAATCATGATTTCTTTCTTTTTCTTTTTCTTTTTTTTTTTTTTTTGAGTCGGAGTGGCGCTCTGTCACCCAGGCTGAAGTGCAGTGGCACACTCACGGTCACCCCAGCATTGACCTGCTGGGCTCCAGTGATCCTTCCATTTCAGTCTTCCAAGTAGCCTAAACTACAGGTGCGCACTACCACACTCAGCTAATTTTTGTACTTATTGTAGAGACGAGGTCTCAAACCTGTGCACTCAAGCAATCAACTCTCCTCAGCCTCCCAAAGTGCTGGAATAACAGAATCATTACTAGCCTCTTTCCAAAAGGCTAGAACCTGTCATTAGTGTAAAAATACCAATGATATCAATAATAGGGATAGTAAGAAACAACCTTTGTGAGAAGTAAGAAGTAACCATATGCCAAGCATGGTACTAAGTGTTACACAGAGACTCATTTAATCTCGTGCAAGATAGGTGGTTTACTTTCTGCATTTCGCCGTTGAGGAATCTAAGGGTCAATAGACAGATTAAGAAACTTGAAGGTCACACAGCTAAGTAGCGGTAGCATCTGTTGTCATGGAACCTTGTGTCATATTGTAACAAAGTGAGTAACTTGGTAAGTAAGGGCCGTCCTAGCTCACAACTCCCAAGCTTTGTGGTTTTTTTTTATTCTATGTGTGGGAACATGGCTTGCTCTAACCATTGTCCTTTGTCTGAGAACATAGCTATGGGATGGGGAAATGACTGAGAACCAAAGCTTCCTCCCCATGGGTAGATATGGCATGCATTGTTCCAGATGTCCATCATGTGCCTGTTATGCCTTCCTAAGTCATTGGGAACCCCTTGCCCCAGCCTCAGGCCTCTTCCCTCTGTTGCAGCTACTGTTGACTTTGTTACCTGAAACACATCCAGAGAGAACCCAGTCAAAGCAGCTTTCTGGAAGACAGAACCTTGTTTATCTTTCTGATATCAACATCAAAAATGAAAAAATAATATAAGTGCCCTCCACCCAACCCAGCTATCCATAAAAATATCTGAAAATTTCCTTCAATTAAAGCTGTTATGACAATAACAAAAAGAATTAGTTATGAATGAGAAATGAACACAATTTACTCTACCTTTAATGAAAATTTAACTTTACATACCTCAGCCACTTTTTGACCTCATGAAGTTGCCCTAAAGGAAATACCAATCTGATGTTTAAAATTAATTGCTAAGTCGTTTAATTCTGTACTGCAGTCACTCCAAGAATGAAAGAGAAATCCATTCACCATGATCAACAAAACTGGTGAGAACTCATTCCCTCATTTCTCTCCACTTATAGCTCACACACACACACACCAGTTGCAGTTCTGCATTTCCTATACCAAATTTTCCCCCAAGCTCTACTCACACTTAGCTCCTGGTCCCAAGCAGACTCTGCTCGTTGTTTCTAGTTGTTGTTGGAGGATGGGAGGGAGAGCACCCTCTTCCTTTCTGCATTCGTTCTGTCCTCAGAGTAGGGGTTTACTCCCTTATCAAGGTAAAAGTCTACTAACTTTCCAATCCTGTAGCAGTTTCTACCCATCATTCTACTCAGAACCCAGAAGGCAAATGGGATCTTCTTTACACATCCAACTGGTTGTTCACCTCTCCTGCAGTGATTTTTTCTTTGTGTTTGTGGGCCTCAAGCTATCCAGTTGTCTCTCTCAGAATGTTCTTTTTGCCAGAGTTTCTGCATACTGTGCCTGTGTTCTCTGCCACGCATCTGGAATGGGGAAGAATATATACAACTCCTTTTGATAGAAAAGAAAATCCTCTATTTGGGATCTGAGATGCAATGAATTCCCCCGTTAAGCAGAAACATAGGCAACATGGCCCTCTCTTGCAAAGTATTACTATTTAATATGTTCTGCATAGCAGTACTTACAGTTAAACTACTTCATATACCACTGTGCAAATTATAACGACAGATAATCTGTGCTAGGCCGATCTCCTTATTAAAATAATAAAATATTACAAATTGTATAAAAATCTCAAAGAGAGATTAGCATATAATGGGGGTTCTCTTGTTATCGAATCAGTAAGATTAAAACTGTTAACCCAGAAGCAGCACATCTGAGGGGTGTACACAGCTTCCATGGGCATTTTGAACAGATGTCCCTTGAGTCCAAATGGTAATCAACAACTTGGAAGAGAATTGATGGATTTCTTTATTCAACTGGATCTGTAAAATCTTCTTCCTGTTATGTTCTTTGGAAAATGTACATAACGACATGAATACATAAAGACATAGTTCTGAAGATAAGATGGTTCCTTTACTTCTTTTATGCTCTTTGCCCTCTCAAAATTTAAAATTTCATCTCCTTCATGAGATGAATATAACTTTAATTGAAATTATTTACATGTATTAAAAGATAAAATAACCTCTTAGTTTTACAAATCTTTAGTTCTGTTCTCTTGACTCTTGGACTTCAGAAAATTCAATAAGTGGTATATCTCTTAAAACAACATGTTGTTGTTTGGTGTTTTCTTTTTTCAGTGTGACTCAGGAACTAAGTAGGTCAAAAAGTACACACACATACACAAAATCTCTGCAAAGATTGAGAGCCTGGCAATGGGGGTAGAACTATAACTCTAGAAGGAAAGAAAAAAAGTATTTTTAAAAGATTAAAAAGAATATTTCATGTTCAGATCATTTTTCAAAAGTAAGTCATGTAACAGGAAAATGCTACTTAGGTTAAAGAAGCCAAGGTCCAATAACTCGTATAGAAGTATAGGAAACAATACCAGCACTTCAATGAGAAGGAAAGTCATCTCATGTGAAGACAGTATCTGAGATTCCAGAGCCAGCATGAGAGAATGAAAGGAAGTCTGTATTTACAGTTACCAGGATGCTCATTCTGTGTGATTCTAGGTGGAACATTTAGCGTTCCCCAACCTCATTTATATGATGAAGTTGAATTGAACCAGATGATCTCTGAAGTTGCCTCCCATATTCAAGTGTAGTGGTTATAAGACAACATGGTCCTACTTTATGATGCTTCTTGGTTTAGAAGCATTGTAGAAAATTGTTGGGGAGAGATGCTCCTGCTTCCCTCCACCAACTCTGTCTTCTTCCATCCCTTAACCAGCCTGTGTCTTGAGACAAGACATGACTAATTTTATCATTCAGAGCCTAAAATGTTCTTGTTTGGCCAGGGGCAGAGTCACTGTATAGTAAAGGTCAGGCTCATGCACAGCAAGCTCGGCATTATGTTATACTGGGTGCTTGGCCAAATACTAAGTAAAAGTGGTACTCCGCTATTGTCCTCTATGTATACTATTTCCTCCACAGAGAGGAAAATAGGTGACCCCAATCCTTAACAAAAATATCCACTTGAACCTAACCACATCTAAACTGAGCATTTATGCCTGTTCAAATTCTCTTCTTCTGAAAGTAAAGCCAGGAATTGGTCCAGTCAGTGGAATTC